TGTTCTACCGCGGCATGCAAAAAATAAGAAGGTACGGCAAGAAATCCAAGCAATATATCGACAATGACATCCACCGGGTTATGTGTGTCATCGGTGTCATCAGTTGATTTTGATTTTTTGGAGGTTCCAAACATTTTATCATAACACGGTTGCAAATCCTAAAAAAACAATAAAAAAGGTGAGATTTTTCGTTATACAATGCACGATGCAAAATATCAAAAGTACACCTACCTGTAAAGCGTTCATTGCCTCCTTCGGCTCACTATACAGCATAATTGTGGAAAAGGAAAAGAGTAATAAAAACCCTTCATATTGCAAAGCATTATCTAGACTTTTAATTTTCAACTAGAAAAAATCATTGAATTTGTAACCTCGCAATTTTTTAAGTAGAAAAGAAAACAAAGCCTTGGAGAAATGTCAGTGTCATACTTTGTTGTTGATACGTTGCATAGTCTTGAAAGCAATTTTCTTCGTTTCTTGGATTTCTTCATTCAAATCGATTAATGGATCAATCTGGTGATCACCTTCGAGCATTGTAAATTGACACGCGGCATAGTATGCCCATGTTCCACCATTACTCATGATACTATTTAGCCCAGCAGCAACGTTCTGATCTGACATCAAGTAACGAGAGTTCAATTTTATGACCTTGCGGATTACTTTTTCGGAGTCAATATAGTTACCTACTATTTTTAGGCTGACGGATGGTAATCAGTTCGCCGAGAGCATGAAAGAGACGTGTCCTACAACATTCCTGAGTTTTTTCAGAAAGTGGTGGTTTAGGTTCTTCAAATATGATTTGTGTAGAATTTTTGCCAGGAACGAGCTACGTACAAAATTTTCATGAATAACGCGAACATTTCGTTCTGAAAAAGGAATGAAAACCAATGTATATATATATATATGCTCTACCTTTGCATTCTTCTTTTTTACATCTGCGGACTTTTTCGAAGTGAAAAACCCATACAAAAGAAACATATCCAAAATAAATTTCATCCAGCTTTCATCGCGTCCCATCTGTGTGTCTTTTAATATCAAGTACATGTAATTTATTATCCACTGTCGACGATCCTCCATTGTATCGACATCACTAGGTTGAATCATAATTTTACAATCTCGATTAAGATCATATCATCATCTAGATTCCAATATGATATATAAATTAAACCTTTGATTCGGTTCCAAGAAATTTTTTTTGAGATATGACAGAACGTTTTCCAATTCATCAAAATCCATGTTTCGAAAAATTTTCTTGATGGTTTTTGTGTTGCTGATTACATCAAAATCCTGATCGCAATTTGGACCCAATAAAGTCTTGATCACTACCATTGCCTTACTTTTATCTATCTTAGATACATTAATAATCGCGTTCAACTACACATCACAAGGTAGAGCGTTAAGAATGCACAAGAGAGGCATGTCACATTAAATAATCAATAATAATTACCACGTAGAGCGAGGCTCGATGCAAACGACGATTTTCGTGGTGTAAGTTGCTTATTAGAGTATGCATGAAATTTTTGGTAAATAAGGCGGATATTTTTTCTGTCGGTAAAGTGGTTAGCACTTTTACAAATAATTGAAACCCCCAGTAAATTCTCCGGCGTGTTCTCCCGACACCGAAAATTTGATCTACGTGTTGAAATGAGAAAAATTAAGATGTGCGATCATCCAAACATCTAAAATAGTTAGGGCGAGAAAACCGTACCGTCTACAATGAGCTTCCAGAATTCTTCAAATTCTATCGAACGGTCTCTCATCTTCTTCCGATCTTCATGGTTATACGACTGAACTATCGTATTCCACACGGAGTGCAATCGATTCTCCTGATTTTGGTGTATTTCAGCCGCAAGTGTACTTGAACTGGCCTAAATACAAATCAAGCAAAGAATAATAAAATATTCCCACCATTTATTTGTTTTGTACTCATCTGATCTTCTTTAAATACAATCTGTGATATTAATGATTCTCGGAAATACCTGAATGGCCACGGCCAGCTTTGCTATATTATCGCTACTCATTATTTTCGGACTTTGCCACCTGATAACGCATGAATCACATCTGTGCAATATAGCATTCTTCCAATCATCGGCTTGCACTATTTCCTGGTAAATGCGAATATTTGGCTTGTAAATAAAACGTGCTATATATATATATATATATATATAAAGGTTCTCGAGGTCATAAATTTAGACGCAATTGAAAAGTCCCTTACCGGATACTGAGATTCAATGGATAATGCTAAATTTACATCATCGGGATTATGAATTCCATGCTCGCTACTTCCCTTTAGAACTGTTATCAGGTGAGATATCGCCGATTCTTCGAAAGATACGCCTTTCAACTGTACAAATTTTTTATACAGGCGATTTAAGTTATTCATTACTTCTCTCAAGGAAACGAGATGATGGTAGCTTACATGAGGAATACTCGAAATAATAATATGATAACAAGCTTCCCGAACGTATGACTTGCATTTAGAACATGTAATCAAATTGTCAATGATCTCAATGTAGTCCTCTTTAGTAGAACCCTTTCGCCAAAGAATGCCAGATTGAATAATGGCCATGAAGCCGAAGACGCGCCCGAAAATGTAATCAGAGTTTTCCTGAATATGCAAATACCGGGATTACATTCACGTCAATAGAAATGTTCGAACAATATGACTCTGATTATGATAACATACACGATCCTTTGAAGACTTGATTGGACACGCCTCATTGATGAGTGTTGCGACAATTTTGTACGTGACACCCTTTAAACCAGCCAAAAGCTTCATATCACATAAATGGAATCGTAATTTGAATGATTAACGGAAATTGCAAGTTGATGGTACATTTGAATTTTCAAAGAGGCAAGTAGACATACCTCGATCAAAGCCAAAGAAAAACCATGCCTAGCACCTGCCCGTGAACTTGCCAGACCTCTTGTCAGTCGGATTAAAGCGTAAGCCACATCTGCCCCGCAACATCTTTCCAAATATTCAGTAACCCTTAAAAAGTAGATAAAACAAAATTTAGATATGTAAAATGACGCGCGCGTTTTAACCGTAATTGTTCATAAGGTACCCTGCGAAATCTTCATTACTAATTAAAGGTGGAATCACTTTTGATTTCAAATGTTCCTCGTATTTATCGTGTAGATGTGAGATAAAACCACTAGCCGAAGCCTGACGTTCTGTGGAATCTAAAGAAGCTAATTCGTAGAAAAAATCGTA